TTTATCTTTCTCCTTCCTGCTAGACTATGCTTCTCGTTCCTGTTCAATGCCTCGACAAGACTTTTTTGTACTTCATCTTTTGCCCAGTCATGTAAAACACTATCTAAATTCTCAAAACTTTCCGCCATTTCAAAACACAGAGGGAAAAACTTTGAAATGATGACGTCAATCGTGCGTCTGTCCTCTAATAGATCATAGGCGAGAACCAATCAAAATGTGAGAATTACTTGGGTTATTATATAAAACTCAATAGAAACACGGAGAACATGTTTTCTATTTCTTTTATAAAACACTGCGACGGAAAAAAGGAAAACAACTTGTTAACTTCGATTATCAAATTGTGAATTCTCTTTGCTTGTGCCATCATTATGTCAACAGCTCGTGCTAGTTCTGTGTTCCCATCGAGTTATAGAAACACAATTTTTAACCATCAGCGCGCATATTTTCTTAGGACTGTTTTCTAAAACCTTTGTGATATGTTGGCAAATGATATCATTCAAGCCACCTCAATTGAAGTCATTGCATGCTACCTAGTATGTTAACTATTTTTTTAGTATCACTGGCAACTGTGAACTGAAACTTATTTAAGTCATTTTAAGCACAGTTGATAACAGCAAGTTAACTGATCAATATCAGCACTACTGACAGTGAGCAGTCAACTGAGCCCAGTCACCTTTTCCCCCTAACTGGGCAACAGATGGTCAATCATGTCTTCAGATGGTAAAACTACTAAGCAGACAAAAAGAAGTCAGTTAGCTCACTTTGTACTGTGAAGGGACTTGATATTTGTCAGGTCAAACACCAAAATTACCACTGCAAGGAAAACAAATGCATTATCAACAAAAAGGCATTTGCTCTTAGACCAGTCTGCAACTTGTTTGTAGAAAGTGAGTCACAGTTGAATCCTGTGTACTCAAACCCTCAGAGGAAATGAGAAAAAGTTCGCAATAACAGGAGTTTGAGATAGCTACTTGCAAATAACTGAAAAGTACAGCTGCATCTCTCCACAACGCTTGCTGAACAGCCACCTTGGGCACAACCTCATTTCCAGGGTCAGTCTCCCTCTTCTCTCGCTCTTGGGGCCAGGCAGAGAGAGAGATGCTGGGAATGAGGTTGCCTTGGGGAAAGAGGAAAGTGGTCGTTATAGAGAGGGGACCATTATGGGGAGGTACATGTAGGGGTGTAATATAGTGGCAGTTGCCGTTTGTGGAGAGATGCCCAATGTAGGAGTGAATATAGGGACCACCTGCTGAGACAAAAAAAAAAGGTGGCCTCAATTTTGCAGAGAGTTGTCCCTTGTAGAGAGTTGGCCATTAGTGGAGGTTCCACTGTATATTCCAGGGAAAATAATTTAACTTTGAGATTGTGGGGAAAACAAATTATTAAGATAACCAAGTTTGAGATAGTGAGGTTTTACTGTGTTCTCTGTACACACATTATTGGCTTAACCCATTGACACCCACTGCTTTTTAGCAAAAATGCATTTTTTTTGGACATTTTCAGCCTGGATATGAGCCAAATTAGCTCCAATCTACCCAAAAAGGCATTTGCAATGTGACAGCATGCTTTTCTTTCACTAGCATCATGTTTTATGACATTTTTGCCTGTGCATGTGCAGAAATAACAATTTCATTTTTGGACGATAAAGTGGCCTTTCGTTTTTCTCCTTTTCTTATCTTTTTGCTGCAGTGATTGATCTTCTACTGGGCTTGCTTCCAGTTCAAGAATTCCCGAGAAGGCATCATCAAGATGGTCAATTCTTACCACGGAGTAGCCAAGTGTAGTGGAGGGAAATTTTGCTCTGAGTTTCTCACTCAAATTTCTGAGCATTTTCATTGAATGAATATTTCAGGCTCAATTGACCGGCAATCATTCTGATCTGGGTATCATTGGAAAGATCTTTTCCTACCGCAAAATTTAAGCATAAGTGATGCCAATTCTGGTCAAAGGTGAACAAAGGCCAATGCTCGACACGGCTGGTTATGGCTAGCACAGGCATCAATGGGTTAAAATTACACTGCCAGATAATTACATTCTTGTAAAATCTAGCTCTGGGCCTGCAAGCACTGCAGGCGTATCCTGCTAAAAAAATTTATAGCTCTTTGCTTGCATTTTATAGTCTCTGAAGAGTATTACAGCATTCAGATGAATGATGCTATACATACTGGGAACTGGCAATCAAGACAGAAATGACAAACTTACCATGAGCTCCCCTGTAGTAAGATGCAGCCATGCATTTGAATCTCTCTTGGCCAGCTGTATCCCAGCTGTACAGTAAAAAAATAGTCAACAAATTAAATTCAATAATCCCACATCCAATTAGCCTGTGAGAGCAACCATTTTTTTTTTCCAACAACCAGAGCCCGCAATCCTTGATGCTCTCTCTGGCCAAAATGCAGTCAACATAAGCATTATCTTTCCATGTTGGGATGCATGGATTTGTTGTACAAATTATTCTAAAACATAGGTAAACAGTCTACTGTTTAGTGTGCTGGATTCTGGATCAAGATGTTTGAGAACGATCAATCAATCTCTAAAAGGGTTATTGCCTAACAAGTGCTCTGGAGAAAGACACTACTGTCAAAGAGTCTCTGTCTCTCTTAGCCAACTAGGCCTAGACACCGGTTGACCTCTCCCTAAAACCATTTGATCACTAAGGACGCAAGTTCCAGAAATTTAAAACTTTGGCAAATTTTCTTCTTGACAGCATCCATTTATTATAAGAAAGAGCAAACATGTTCTCCGTGTTTCTATCAAGTTTTAGTATAAATCTACTAGCGTTCTATCACGAATGGCATTCTCTGATTGGCAACACAACTCACTATTTATTCTGTTGTAGATAGTGAGTAGCATAGCAGTGGGCACTTGTTAACAAACTGGCGGCTGCTTCATTGTGTTTTTATTGTGTCTGTGAAGAGGATTTAGATAACGTTTTGAGTGACGAGTATGTTTATAGAAACACTAGTGGAAGTTTGGGGTAAGGAGAAATGCTGTGGGAACACAAGCCGATTGAGGAAGAGTGCAAAAAAGGTTTCTTAGCACAAAAGGCACATAAAGCTTGCAGGGCACAAAGTGTACAGAGTGCTATGTAGCTATAGTCCATTGCATGCATTGTGAGCCTTAATGGTTCATGCACTAGTTAAAAATAATTATAATTTAACATCATAGGCCCACAATGTGCAAAGATGGAACAAATTTTAAATCTTAGTTTAATCCAGTAGGTACTGTTTTAAGAGGTTTAATGTATAAAATTTAATGTCCTGCTCACATCTGCATGTTGAACTCTTGATCAAGAATCATGAATCGCTCAACCTCAAAGTCCACACCAATGGTTGCTTTGTAGTCTCTGTCAAACAAATTGCGACAGTATCTACAAAGGAAAAGGGACACAGTTCTGTCAGCTTTACAAACAACAGTTGGACAGGATTGAAGTGATACTAAACTACAAATTGCCATTATCAGGAATGGTGACATTAGTCACTGGTAAAAACCAGCTAATGTGACACTTTGTTGATTTCACTGTTCAGCAAAACAAGGTTTCTTATGGTTGGCGAAATGGTGCAAAATTCACAAAGTTTATATTCATTCACATTTAATGTTGTTATTATTATTCACGAATATATTTATTCACATTCAACAACTAAATTTATATTCAAGAAATATAYTAATTCACATTTAACGACGTATTTCGTATTYACGAATATMTTTACTCAYATTGYACSGKRTKKAWYCAWTCAYWTTSAWCGGTKWATRTWMATKWAYATWMACCGWTSAAWRTGAWTGRWTMMAYMCSGTGMAATRTGAGTAAAKATATTCGTRAATACGAAATACGTCGTTAAATGTGAATTARTATATTTCTTGAATATAAATTTAGTTGTTGAATGTGAATAAATATATTCGTGAATAATAATAACAACATTAAATGTGAATGAATATAAACTTTGTGAATTTTGCACCATTTCACCAACCATAGTTTCTTTTGTTTTGCGTTCGACAAAAACATACTGCTAGGAAAAGTGCCTTTTTTGCACACGTTATTTCTCAAAAAACGAAGAGCAAACCAGCAAAAAAAAAAACTTCAAAGCAATGTTTCTCAGATAAAACAAAGCCTACATACCACAATTCAGCTATTTTTGAGCACTTTCAAAAATGGCCAAAAAATCTAGGGGACGTTCTTGCCCATGGCCTTTCAATTATTTTCAATTATGTAATGGCTATTCTCTGTAGTTACTTTCTTCATTTGATGGACCCCTGGTTTGTTAGATCTTTGGTACAATGGTTTGCTAAATCGTTGGCTTGATGGATCAATGGTTTGATGTATCATTAGTTACAATGGATAATCACTGGGCTGCTGGATGGATTGCTGTAATGCACAATGAGACTTTTTACCCACACAATTTTGGCCCAAAATTTTAATTTTGCTGATGCTTGCATGCTTCCATTGCTTAATATTAAGTTTTTTTTTTGCAAAACTGTGATGATCAGTCATGTTTTTACATCTTACTCTGCAGTACAGATTTATGATCTTTCATATGTTCACTTGCATTATTCATCATCTATGTGTATACCTATTACAAACTCAACATAACCAGCTCCCAGTTGGCTTGATAGCTCAGTTGGCAGAGCACTGCACTGGTATTGCAGAGGACATGGGTTTGAATTTTTTCAGGGCATTATTTTCACAGCTGTTTAAGTTGTATGCAAAGATGCATTACCCAGAAAGTGAACTGGAGCTGTTCTTATGTGCCAATTGCACATAAGAACAGAGCTCAACGTTGTCACCGCTGGGGTCATTAATGCGACCAAATTAATTCACTGGCAACTAACAATCCATGCTTTTCACTGATTGAAATACTTTTGCTGCCGACTAAAATCTAAAAACTTAGGGCCAGCTGGCCCCAAGGTTTTTTCCTGAAAGTTGAGCCCTGAAGAAGATACACACCTGTTAACTAGACATGTTTTGCCCACAGCACTGTCACCAACAACTATTGACTTGGCTACCTTTAAACTAATGGTGACATTAAGAAAATGGACATAAGATTAGTATACCTTCTCACCATAAGACAGTTTTTTCAGATTCATTTCCTGCGAGCAGTTGGTTTCTCTATGCCGAACTGCGCTGCTCCCATTCGCAGTGTAGCATTTGGCATAGGAGGAACTAACTGCTCTTAGGAAAACTGATAGGAGACTTTATGGATAAACCTCAATTAAAAATACATTCATATTAATTAATGTAATTATGGTATCACTAAACTGAGAAATTCAATGTTTACATCTACTGTGCATGGCTGGAATCGTGAAATTTTGGGCTACTTCTAGATTTTTCAGTTGAAATTTCAGCCCATTCTCCAGTTATCAATACTTCTCATTGAAGCTTATCTTGACTTACAAACCATACAATCACATGTGCATAATCAATATAAATTTAAAATTTAAACAGAAATTTGAAATTGGAATTATTATAATTATTAGTAATGTTATGTCTTACACTGATCAGATAAATTATAGCCTGTCACCTTTATATTGTTCATTTACTATTTAAAATACAGTGGCAATTTGTGTCTCCAATTTCTCAAAAGAGCAGGTTTTTTCATTTTTTTTGGCATCCTCCTAAAATTGCCACTTAAGTGACCCTCCACCTATTAACAAAAACTGACATTACTAACCACTTATTAACTGAGAGTGAGGTCATTACAGGAAAATCTCGAACCAAGACCTTGTCATATTAAGCGAGTGATAGCAAGGTCAATACGGCAAAGCCAAGATTTGAGATTTTCCCATAAAGACTGAATGCTCGAGGTTAATAAGTAGTTTATTACATATGGCTTTTTGCTTGGTTTTTCAAGGCCTGTAAATGTAATTGGCCCTTGGGCATTACAGGAGAATAATGCCCTAGTATTAGCCAATCAGAGCACGTGTTTTATCGGCTACAAAAACAAGTCATAAAATAAAATTTTTATAAAAATTTATAAATCTGGGACATCTTGGTAAAAATTTCAGCAAAAGTGTTGGCACATGCCTGTCTACACACTTACGATATATTGCCAGTGTTTCCTGTAGAACATGCATCCCTTGTTTTAGGATGAAAATTAAGAGCTTGTCTTGGAGCTGCATCGGCTGTGTAGAACTACAACAAGCAAAAGAAACAAAATTTGTTTCTCAACTCGTTCATATTTAGTAGCCCCGCTAATTCGAACTTAGTTATAATTTTGATATCCTTATATTTTGAACTCAAACCCATTTCCCCTTTTATATTACTTTTTTTTATTTACTTTGATTTTGCCTAGTCATTTAATATTGTTTACATGTAATTCGAATGCGGTTACGTTGAACTCCAGGCTATGTCAAACTGATTTCTTTTTCCTCTGGTCTAAAATCAATTCTGTTTATTCCAAACTCCATAGTTAAGATAGAAAAATAAACATAAGAACATAGCTGCAGGAAAACTACAAGAGTTAGTTGGGCTTTTCATAACATTTTAATCTAGGCTTGTATATAGTACATTTAACTGTACTCTATGTTACATAACTGTAAATTATGGACTTCATCTTAAGATGCTCTTTTCTGGCTGTTTGACTAGTAAAAATGTACTTCATCATGTATTGTTGATCACATATTAATAGTATTAACAGTATTATTATTGTTATCATAACATTTTAATGCTGACATGGTTATTTCAAACTCTCTACTATTTTCAAACCATTTCTTGAGGGTCCAGCAGGGCAGGAAAAAATTTTGAAATCCAGTTCCCCCGTGGGCCAGTTCATCTCAGTTTTCAGTTGCCCCCACTAAAATATTACTCACCCAATAGGCACCCAATGAACATGAGCAAAGTATGCTTGAATTTTATAGCCACGTCCAGGTGTTCAGTTAGTTGGGGCACAGTGTGAGAAACGGCGCGCAAAAAAAAAAGCAATGTGAGAGGAAGCGAAAGAACGCCTGTGAGCAAACTTAACAAAAGGTCGTTCCTGTATACCAGGATCTGGTATACACTCTGATTGGTCAATTCTGACAGATTTTGTCAACACTCAAGCATTACTGATGCAGATGAGATGTACTATATGTCGGCGATCAGACACCTTTCAATGAGTGACGCGATGTTCAAATCTGTGATGAACAACACGCTAAACTAGATTTTCCCCAAGAGGAGAGCCTTTGCGAAGAACAGAAGGATTGCATAAAAAATATGGTCAATGGAAGATGTCTTTGCAATCCTTCCACTGGTTTTGGAAAGAGTTTAATCTTTCAACTCTTAATTCCACGAGTAAGGTCTTCAATGAATGGAAAAGCCGGCACCATCTCCACGACCAAGGTGGTTTGTCTAGCTCTTGTGGCCATAATGAAAGACCAAGTTGAACATTTAAACAAAATCAGAGTTGCAGCAACAGCAATAGGTACCTGTATTGATGAAGAAGCGGAAAGAACGAGATTGTGTGTAAAATACAGTTCATGATGTCTGTACATTTGCTGTCCTGTTTTCTGTATCTCGACCTTTCGCTTCACAGAGTTTGGCACCTCTGTGATTTACCATGTGGTGGTTACAGGCTCATTTCTATTGTAAGATATGTTTTAAAATCTCCAAGTATTGGCTTTCAAGGGACAAAGTTTGGAATATTCCATGAACATGTTTCAAAATAAGGTTGACAACTGAAAACCACAAGCCGATGGTCATGTTGCGGGTCCCTGTAGGCTGTCTATAAGTAGACGGAAGGATCTTTAAACTTTTGCTAAGTTTGCCCACTGGCATTCTCTCGCTTCCTCTCACCACACCTTTTTTTTATTTTTTCATTTGCTGTTTGTTGCACTGCACCCCAAGTAACTGAACGCTTGGAAGACGGTAGGATTTTAAATTAAAACTTTCATTTTCACTTGCCCAAGAGCAAAATTTACTTGTCACAGGCAATTGAACCTGGATTTTTTCCTGCCCCCGTCCAGGGGACTGAAGGAACCAGGAGAGGGGTTAGCTCTATTTTATGTTATTAATCTAAATTTTAGATTTTTAGATGCCCTTATTTTAAATGATTTTACTTTATTTTTTTTTGATGTTATAATAATTTTTACTGACTTAACTCAGGTAGATGACTAGATGTAGATAGATAGCTCAGATATGAAAGATAACCAAGGCCAGGTTGTTCAAAGCCCAGTTAAGCTAACCCAGGATTGGTGAGAATTTTGATTTCAGTTTTGTAATTCTTTTTGGTGAGGTGCACATGTTCTGTTTTTTTGTTTGCCCTTCAGTTTTGAGCTGTAGTAATCTCAAACTACACCAAATATAAGAGGTGAAAAACATTTCTAAACAAGAAAAAATAATACTTCAGTTAAGAGGGGGACATCGGGGGGTTCTAAACACTGCAACACCACAAAAAAAATTAATGAACACCGCATCACTGCAAGAAAAGTCAGTGAAACACTGTCATCGCAACGCATATTTTTAGCGCCATGATTTGTTCATCTACACTTACAATACTACTTTTATACCTCAACAATTTTCCACAAAATAAACTGTTGTTTCTGTCCTCGCTCCTCCACATGTCTACTGAACACTGAGCTCCGGGCGGCAGAGGTCGAGTTACTTGTCAAGTTACGTATAAATGAAAACAGCTCTGGATTGGCAGCCGAAGCATATCGAAGATTGACTAGAAAGTGATGGTCTGTACTTTTTTACAAATCATTTACCTCAATGGTACTTGTTTGTCATAAATACACTGATTCCAGAAAAAACCGGAAGTTGCACCGAAACGAGGCTTAATAGCCCTCGCAGTAATTAAAGCAACATGGCGAACGAAGAAGAAAGGCCAATCTCTCTTCTGATGATATTCCCGGCGTCAGTGTGAGTGAAGAACATTGAAAA